TTAAACAATTTTTTTGTGGTTAACAAATGGCAAAACTTTCAAACAATAGACATATGTATGTAATTTATAGCTTCAGGAACCAAAACGTAGCCGTTTATTTTCTTATCGTGTAAAATAACGCCGTTTAGTATTTTGTGAGTTTTTCAAAAATTTGCAAAAACTGTGTTTAAAGGTTGGCCTCGTTTATTATTGTGTAAATTGTTAGAAACAAAAGAATTGAACATAGACGGTTTTATTGTTAAAGTCGAACGCACTTTAGCTTTGCTTTATGTTGTTGCTTTATTTTGATTCTTTTGCTGATTTCGTTTTTGTTTCAGAACTGCGGTTTGTTATTGGTGTGTTTGTTGTTGTTGTTCTTATGTTTTCGTAATTCTTTCCGAGCGAGTAGACGTGTGATGAATTTTACAACTGCCGTAAAATTAACTAAAATAAAGATGTTAAATATTTGTTTAAAATATCAGAAATATAGTAGTTTGTGTGTGTCGGTGTCTGTGTCAGAGTTGTTGGCCTTTGGCAGCCACATAGACTTTTAGCCAATTGTTAAACAATTCGGTTGACGCATATTGTGTAAACATGTCGCGCCTTGTATGTAAATATTTAAAAGTTAATGCTGGTTCTGCTTGTTGTTGTTGTGTGGCTTTCAATGTCAATGATAAGCCAGGCATTCGCGCTGTTCGAAATATTTCAATTATGCGCTAACATTTGGTTTTCGTTTTATTTATTTTGTATTTTTTTTCTATAAGTATATGCAGAAATGGGAAAACAAATTTAGTTTTCTTGTTTCGATTTTATTTTGTTGCCATTTCTAGAGGAAGCATTACATATTTTACAGCGACTGTCTGCTCATCAAACTTGGCCAACATTTAAAGCCATTGCCAAGCAATGGCAGCAGCAACAACAACAACAACAGCTACGCTGCATAAACACAAAACTGTGTCAGCTGTTTGCAGCCACAGTAGCAACGGCATCGGCTGCTTTATTGACAACAGTCCGACTGCTCTTCTTCTTGTTGTTGTTGCTTATGTTGTTTTTGTTGTTGTTTCTGCTGCTATTTAATTGAATCGAAATGCGCCTCTATGCTTTGATTGCCGCTTTTTCGGCATTTCCTACACACACACACACACACACACACACACACACACATGCAGTAGTTATATGTAAATTGAATTTGTAGCGTTTTAAAATATTTTGTTTTTCTGCACAAGAGACACGAAAATATTTCAGTTGAGCAGCGAATTCAGCTTTTTGTTGCCAAAAAAAATGGTTCCTTCAAATACAAATGCGGCAAGCAGGCAGGCAGCTGGCAGTAATGTAGACGACAACACACACACAGACGCACATCCGCACGCACGCACGCACACACACACACACGGTTGCTTGTACGCATTAAAGTTGCCGCTGTTGCTTTTGTTGTTGTTTTTCTCGGTCGCTTCTTTTTCTTTAGCACAACAACAACAACGATACAAAATGTTTGCCGTTGTTTTTTCTCATTTTTGCCTATGCTCGCAACACACACACACACACACACGCGAATACGCATAACAGCGCGACGTCGACATCGCGGCGCCGTGCAACGATCCGTTACCTTACTCGTTGGAGTTCCAATAAGAGACTAAAATTGGCGCTGGCAGTAAGTGAGCGCCAAAGCTTTGCAGGAGAGCCAGCAAAGCTTTTACAGAAACAGCTGACTGCCCAACTTATTGAGGCTGCAGCAATATTGAGATGTTCGGGTTGATGTCTTGACTAAGTTAGCTTTGGTTAACATTTTAACCCTTACCCTAAATACTAAATGTGCATTAATTAGTGTCGACAAACAAATCTCGTCGCTGACAAAAACATTTTAAAACAAAATGTACAAAAAACAAAGTTTTAATTTTTATTATGATTAAAATGTATGTATATTTTAATGTTAACATATTTTCGATAAGCACTCTAGATGCCATCAATCGGAATTGAAAACTGCTTAGTGTGAACTCGATTGCTTTCTTTAAAAGTTAAGACAGTGTAGACATTTTTTACCAGTAACGTTTTATCCGTAATTTATGAATATACTAAATGGACGCTTTTAAAGGAATTCTGTATATTGTTGTAAATGCGGATTATTTTTAATTCCGCTCGAGTAACAGCCAAACTTTCCAAAGCCACATTGTTCCACCTTTTTCGACAATATAGAACTGCCAGCAATTTCAACTCCAAATAAACACCCCTTTATCAGACTTGGAAAAATTTGAAAAATCACAATAATAAGCTACTTTATTAAAGAAATTGAAATAAAATAAAAATTATTTCTCAATTGGACACTTTTTTTGACACATTGGCGAAGATTTATTGGCAATTCAATGAGAAAAGTGGCTAAAAATTGATGAATCAGAGAAAGTAAAACAACATTTTTATATTTTGGTTTTTACATACAAACGTTTGCCGGCGTTGTTCGTTTATTGTTTGTTTTTTTTTTATTCTTTTTTTGCTTTTATGTTCATTTTGAATATGCATATAATTTTGCGATTCCTGCCTCTGCTTCCCTTCCCCTCATACATAGCTTAAACATAAGTCTAAATGAATCCGTTGCTGGTATTTTTGATCTCAAAAGTCGTTTCTTGCATATCGACGCTTATTCGTTTAATGTATATTGAATATTTCTTGTTGTTGTTGTTGTTGTTGTATATGCCTTGTATATTTATGAAATACATAAACGCTTTAATTTCATATGCTTGTTAAGTGTATATATATATATATATGTATATATAATTAATTTAATAATACAAATTTCGCATTGCTGGCCAGGAAGCTGGTTTCTTCCTGCCGTAAACATTTCACGTTCTAAATAGTTGGTGTGTGGGTCTTCAATAAATGTACGTAATTAAATCATGCAGCCTGCATATATATTATTTATGTTTGTATATATATAAAAATACAAAAATCATAACATTTACAAATGCGCCATTGCCGCATTATAACTAGGTATACATATACGAGTATATATATGTATGTATATATCTATCATATAATTAATGTATATCCACATATAATTATAATCGACCTAGCACGCACACAATCAATATATAAAAATTATTGTTAAAAATTAATGTTAATGTTACAAAAATTAAAATGTATATGCATTTATTCTCTTGAATTATACACAACGTCACAACGTTATTACTTCGTTTTGTATAAATAATTTCACTTTAATAAACAATTTCACTTTGTTATGCCTTAAAAGCTAAACTAAATTATTTTTCGTATGCGTTTCAATATATAAATTTCACTATTTAGTCTTAATTAATTGTATATATGGAAGTTGAAATTGGTACACAATATGTTCAGGATCAACTAGGAAAACAATTTGTTTGTTTGTTTGTTTGTCTATTTCATATTCCAACGGTACTCCACAACAAATGTTTGGGGAAATTTCGTCAGCAGCAGTCAAAATTTTCATAATTTTTTTGTTTCGATTTTTTACTTCTACATTAGCGGTGTTTGGTTTTTTTTTTTTTTTTGTAAGTCTACACTGGAGGTCCTTTAAACTTTTGTGTTGCATGCAAATATGAATTTTTTCTTTGGGTATAGTATTTGTTTATCGCTAATATTTCAAAAGTGCTGAACACCACATTCAATTCCACTTTGAACTGTTTTGAAGACTTGTTGCTGTTGATTCTTGAGTTGATTCTTAATTTGTTTGCTTAAATAAAAGTTGATGTTTCAATTAAAAGCTTATTTAACACAATTTTTTGTATTTGTTTTTCATTTTACTATTTTCGATGAGATCGTGCTTAGGAAATGTGCGAATGCTTGCTCTTCCATGAGCGCAGAAACTTTAAATTCGAAATTGTGGCTGAGTCTGTTTGCAAATGAAAACGTTTAGTTTGAAAATGTTGCATGTGTGTTTTATTTTGTAATTTGATTTTAAATGTTATGCATAATTTATTTTTGTAGTATGTATGTGTGTGTGTGTGTGTGTGTGTGTGTGTGTGTGTGTGTGTGTGTAATGCTAAATGTTTTTAGTTTTTTTCTTTTATTATTTAATTTAATGAGTATGCATGTATGTATGCTTGTGTATATAGTATATATTTATGTTTATGTTCGTATTTTGTATGAATACAATATATTATATGAATTGGGCATACATTTTACAGATAGCGTAGATAAAGAGAGTAAGATGTAATTTATGCATTTATTTGTTAAATACCTTTATAATAATGCTAATATAATTACAACAGATGATTTTGTTTTTGAATTTTTCGCAGTATTATTATTCAATAAGAGTTGAAAATAGTTTACAAACAAATTTAAACAAATCTCGTAAGAGACACAATCAAATTTAAACAGAACATACATGCATATGTACTTCGTATTAAACTTAATGTATATATGTGTGTGTGTGGCATACAAACTAAAATTGAATAAAATTTTGGTAGCGCTTAAAACTTAGGGGGAAAAAACACTAATGTATGCTTTTTCACATCGAAATTGCATTAACCTAAATGTGTATTTTATATAGTATAGTATCTAAAAGAAAAGAATGTACAATTGTAAAACTAAGTATTACGATAATGCATACATTTGTTGCTCGCACAAAAATTGTTTACAGTTTACAAACTAAAAGTTGATATTAAATAGCATAGGCATACAACATTATAATTATTACATTTATTTTTATTTGTTTTCTTTGCTTTGACTAAAAGTTGATTTTGTTTGCTGCATAAAACAATTGCGAGCCATATAAAAAGCTGATAATTGCGTGTTAATCTTATTTACTTGTATATATACGTATATGTATATATGTATGTATATATATATATATATATATATAGCTTAGTATATATTGTTTATATGCATAAACACGCGATACGTATGCGGCGCAATCAACATTTTTGCAATGTTTCCTTTTTCTCATTTTAAATATCATAAGTTAAATATTTAGTTTAAATACATTTAGAATATTTAAAATTATTTTTAGTTTATCATACGCATTACAATTTTGCTTAAACATTTTTCTTTTCTGCTCAGTTCGTTTGTTTTATGCAGTGCCACGCCCACGCCCACATACACATCGCATATACATATTTTAAAAAAAATCAGGCGTTCATTTGGGACAGTGCTAGAGTTTCTGAATTGGTTGTTGTTATTGTTGTTGACGTTGACTTTGTTGTTGTTGTTGTTGTTGCTATTGCTGTAGCTGTTGACAGTGAGTTGGCTGCTAGTAATGCTTAGACTATATTTTGATCTATCTGCGATTGAACTCCGATTTGATAGCTGAAAGAAGAAAAAAGTTGCAGAAACTAATTAATTTCAATTCCGACAATGATGATGTCAAGCTTATGATTACTTGTATGAGTTTTTGGATACTACTCGTAATTATTCCCCCAGCGTATTTAAGTCTTAACATTAGGAGTGAATAAAACAGACGTGCGAGACGAGAGTGCAGGTCTAGAAGCTGGGTATAAAGACAGAAACAGATGAAGCAAATGCCAAGAATCAGAAGCGACCGAAACAAAAGCTGGAACAACGAACAGGACCTCATTAAGGAGATGACAAAAATTTGTTTCGGCGCACTGAGCATGCATAGTAGGTGACAACCGATCAATAAAGTGCTCACCAACTAATCTCCAATACCAGGTAAATCTACGGACCAATATTTATTTTAAGTCTTACCTAACCTATATAGCAGAATAACTTCAGCCCGAATGTCATACCCACTTGGGTGTTGTAAGGCAAGATGTTTTTCGAATAAAGGAACAGCCTGAAATAGAACTTCATGCCCATAATTACAAAGCCAGCCTTAATCTACTAGGATTGGAACCTCAATGATAATGTAAATATATAAAGCCACTTTAACGGGGACACTTAAAAAGTGTATAGAGATACCAAAACTGTTTCGTATATGCAAAACGTCTACTAAAAATCTTAAAGAACACACGCTCCATAAAATTACGCATACGATATTTATTTTAGGTAACTTGTCTTTGCACCGGAACTCGACCACTAAACCAGCACAAAGCGGCTCAAACAACTAATTCTATTCTCTGCCTTTGTCATTTATTTGTTATGCGTATTTTACACCCCATATTCCCACGATTTCTACTCTCCCTTTCTCTTATTATAACACTTGTAGCTAATTAAGCCATTATCAGCCTTGCTAACATTTTCGCAATATTTGTTTTTTGCGGTATTGCGGTATTGCCGGTGTCTTGTGATTTCGTTTTCTATATGTCCAAACTTTAAAAAAAGAAAAGAAAACAAACATCTTCCTATTTATAAGCATGTAAGTCTGTACAAAAATAGTTTTAAGAAGCAATACAATGATTTTTTCAAAATATTTGAAATGTACTTATGCTCTCACATACACATACAGATTTGTAAATTAAAGTTCGTTGTATTTTGTCAATGGGGAGACAAATTTGAAAAGTGAAATGCAAAAGTCATTTAGTCTTATTTAGAAAGTATGTCCGAATAAAGTTTCTGTTTTTACCATTCTAGCCGTTTATAAATGTTCAAATCCTTTGGGATGTCAAAGTCACCATAATTTCCCATTAAAAAATATATAATATAGAAATAATTTGGGGACAAATTAAGCATTTCTGAATGAAACTTTAAAAGACCTTAGACTATTGAAAATCGATTTGAAATATCAAACAACAGAATAATTAACGCTTTCAACATACCGTCTATAATTTCCTGTTTGACTTTCTGAATTTCCAGGCGCATTTCGCGCACAATCTCAGCCTTTAGTGTGTCCAAGTCGCTGTTGGATAACGCCAGGGACAGGCCATCGCCGTTGACCTGCTGAGTGAGCGGGATAATACAAAAGATGATGATTTAAGAAATTATGTCCCCAAGGAGAAGTTCTAAAACCAGCTTCCTCACCTTCAGAATTGTTTCCTCGCTGGCGCTGCCAAAACGCTTGCGGATGGGTCGCGGGGACTCCCCACCGCTGTTCGTTGTATTGCTGCTACCGGCGCTGCCGTTTCCATTGGCGCTGTGGGCGTTGCTCGAGCCACTGCCACCGCTCAGTTTGTGGGGCAGAGTGTTGGACTTCTCCCAGGGACGTTGCTTCACCTCGGGCTCTGGTTCAGGCTATGAAACAAAGAATGGAGAGGAGTTAGAAAAGTGAAATGGTGGTTCAATGGATGGCTACTTACTTCTTTTTTCTCCGCCTGGGCGCGACGTCTTGCCAGAGTCTTGGCCATTTCATCCATCATTGAGGCCATGCCATTGGAGCTGCGTCCAATGGTGCCATAGTTGCCGCAGCCGCCACTTGAAGTGCTGCTGCCGCTATTCTCGGGAGCGGCGTTGGGGGTCTGTGAGAGCAACAAATAATTAGAGTGGTTGCTGGTGGGTGGTTACTCCAATGACAGTAGTTACCTTATTTTTCTTGAGCTTGAACTGCTGGAGCTGTGAGGCCAGCGATCCCATTAAATCAGCCTGTGGATCATCCTTTTTCGGTGCACCACCGGCGCCAAGACCCGGTGGAGGTGGCGGTGGTGGTGGAGCACCTGGGCCGCCCAAAGCAGGAGGCGCGGGTGGCGCTGGTGGTTGTGGCGGCGGTGGAGCACCATTAAACAATTGCGGTGGTGCCGGTGGTGCACCACCAAATGTTGGCGGCGGTGGTGGTGGTGCTGGTGCCGCATTTGGACCACCACCACCACCCGTGCTGCTCATGCGATTCAGTGGTGGCGGCATAGGCGCACCACCGCCCGGCTGCTGCTGTTGCATCATGGGCGGTGCCATGGGCACCTGACCGTAAGGATTCTCCGCCTGCGGCTGGCCATTGTGTTGCCCATATGCGTTGCCGGGCATTGCCGGTGGCTGCGGTGCTTGTGGTGCACCACCCATTTGTTGTTGACTAGCGTAGACCACGCTGTTGGCGCTCGCCGAGCTTGGAATGCCGCCGCCGAGATGCGCTGCCTGTGACGCCACATAGATGGGTCCGCCAGGGCCGCCATTTTGATGTGGCGGTGGCATAGGTGGCTGCGGCGCGCCACTCAACTGCTGTGGTGGGTATTGATGCATATTGAGATTTGGATTAGAATTTGAGAGCACGTAGTGTTGCTGCTGGTACTGGTGTGGTGGTAATTGGTGGTTGTGATTGGTGGTATTTGGTTGGTGGTACAATTTTTTATATATATGTATATATTTGATTTGGTGGGGATATAGCAAGCCAATTTGTTTAAGCGGGCAGGCGGGCGGGCGTTCGGATGTACAGAATGAAATGAAACGAAAACAGGTAGAAAAGTAGAAAAAAGTGTTTCGGGACTTCTCGAACAGAGATTCGTGGCCACCTACCTGTGTGGGCGCATAGCCAGCCTGTGCCAACTGCTGTTGGGCCACATAGATGGCTGCATTCTGTTGTTGTTGCTGCTGCTGCTGCTGTTGTTGTTGTTGGTATTGCTGCTGTTGCGTCTGGCCAGGCGCTGGTGGCATTTGTGGATTGACCTGCGCCGGCAGACCATTGGACGTGGGCCCGTTTCCCGTTGGCCCATAATGTGGGGGCGGCTGTGGCGCCTGTTGCTGCTGCTGTTGTTGTTGTTGTTGTTGTTGTTGTTGTTGCTGCTGCTGCTGCTGCTGTGGTTGCGGCGCCGGTGGTGCGCTGAGGGAATTCCTTCAGTGTTTGAACAAATTTTGACAATTGGCGATCGAATGGCGATATGTTCGAATTATGTGTGGTGGTTGTTGTTGTTGTTGTTTTTGTTTTTGTTGTTAAATGTTAATCATGTCAATGCAAATGGATACGACGCAGACGATGACAATAAAGCAAAATCGGGTGCGATTGATTGTTAAGAGTGTTATAGTGTGTGAGAGGGTGAAGAGAAATAGAAACGTAAACAAAATATATAGAAAGTGTGTACGAGATAAAAGCACAAAATGTGTTGATGGTACGACTAATTATGAACTAGCTATATAGATAGTACAGTATATCTGTGATAAAATGAGTTTGGACTGGCAATTAATATTGCAGATAAACATCAGATAAATATACAATAACATCTGAATTGTTGCGCCACTAGTTTTGAGTTTCTTTTTATAAAGCAAACACAATCGCGTACACTATTTTTTGGAAGCTTCAGAAGAGCACTAGATGGTTGAAATTTTTCTTGCTTCGCCACTAGTTTTTTTCCCTCATTTCAACCTTGCTAGCCTGACTGTACAGCTTTGTAAAAATACGTAAAGTGTGGGGTCTCCTATATGTACATATGTAAAATGTTATGTCATCTCAAAATTTTTTTAAAAAAAAAACTTGCCTGACAATTTGCAGATATTGGTTTCCAGCAATATATAAATACGAGAATTATAGTATTCTATAGCTCAAAAGAATGCCAGAAAATTTAAAGATCGATTTCTCTACAGTACCTGATTATTAGAAAAAACTGCTCGGAAATATATGTATATAGAGTACGAACAGATAATCAATATAATTCTAAGTGTTAACATTTTTTTTTAAAATGTACGTTGACTGCAATCATTATAATTGTGAACATTATTCGAAAATAAACCCTGATTGCGATTAATGGTCAGTACGCGGATCAACGAAATTGTTGCCAACACAAGAATACGGAAAGTGGCAATTATTTTGATTGTCCGCTGTGTGACCAGCTTGTATGAAAACTACGTAATTATTGGTCCCACTGCTCAGTGCTCTTTGTTTGAAAATAATAATATTCGATTATAATTCGTCTTTTCACCCTCAATTCTTTAACAGTAGCCGTCCAGAAATGTCTGACTATAAATATTATATTTGTAATATATATGTAGGTAAGTATATTTTTCAGACTTGAAAGTTTCCCACCTTTGAAGACTTGCGTCTCTAATTAATCTATCGTTGATTTTTGTATTTGAAAATTTATATTTTTAACGCTGACTATAAATATTATATTTGTAATATATATGTAGGTAAGTATATTTTTCAGACTTGAAAGTTTCCCACCTTTAACGGCTTGCGTCTCTAATTAATCTATCGTTGATTTTTGTATTTGAAAATTCGTATTTTTAACGCTGACTATAAATATTATATTTGTAATATATATGTAGGTAAGTATATTTTTCTGGCTTGAAAGTTTCCCATCTTTGAAGACTTGCGTCTTTAATTAAACTATCGTTGATTTTTGCTTTTGAAAAGTCATTAACGCTTATTGTTTATACTATATATTGAGTATTAAATGAATCTACTTTGACTATTCTTTGAGGACCCACCTGCTCGTGCGATGATGCCCCTGCGGCGTTGGTGGACTTTGGGGTATATTGTTTTGATTTGTCTGCGATGTGGGGGTCTGGGCCGATGGCGTTATATGCCCACTAATTGTGTTATTCTGTCGCAATATGGCAGCATCCTCGCTGGTCATTGTACGATAGCCCATATCCTCCTCGTAGCCATTGCCATTTGTGGGTGGACCGGCCGGATTGTTGACGACGCGACCGCTGAGCACCTGTTCGGGTTAAGGGGTTCCATTTTTTTAGTAGATAGTGATGGCAAATAGTGGAATCGTACTCACCTCGAGCGCATGCATCATGGCGCGTGCAAATGCCTCCGCATCGTTCTGACTGGAAAAATTGAGGCCGTAGACAAACTTGGAGTCACGCCATTGATGAAACGTGGCCGTGGCCTGATTGTATTTGAGACCCTTGAGTATCGAGCAATTGATGACCACCTCGTGATCCTGCAGTTTGCGTCCGACCACACGAAATGTGTTGTTCTGCTGATGGTGATAGATTTGCACCTTGCTGAGGCCGGATGATGAGCCCGAAGGCACCCATTTCTTCTGGTTATCATCGTACACCATAACGGAGGCGCGGGCGCCGATTATGCTTTGCTCACTGCAACAAGAAAAGACACGAAAGAGACAAGAAACAGTTGAGTAAATGGTGGGAAATGGTGGGAAATGGTGAGAAAAGGGAATCATGACATAATGGTAATGGCGGTGTGATGCAACAAAATGCAGCTTAGCTTAAACGCAATGCTCGAGCTCTAGATCATCTCGACACTCCGCCTCGTCCCCACCCCTCAGCGGTTTCACACGACTGCTCGCAAAGTGCAGTGACTCAAAGCGATCTGGGCAGGAAGTGCAACGCATTTTTTGCCCGTCAACAGCAGAGGCTGAGAAAATTGCGCACACCTGTCATACAAACAGAGAGTCGTCCACTACTTACATACAAGTATGTATGTATGTTGTCGTCGTCGTCATCATCTTTGTCGTTGTGGCCATTGCCAACCGATTAAATAATTCTAATGAAAGTTCTAATATGTACAACCTTTAACATTTTTTCCAACGATGACGCTGACAATTAAAGCGTCTCGGAAAACTTAACCTGGAAGATGTCTGTGCGCTTCAATGGAAAAATGCAAAGAGCAAACGACGGATAGCGACTCGGACAACAACGACGACTACAAATCGTGACAGATCAGACATACATATATGGCTGCTGCTGGTGTTGTTGTTGTTGTTTTTGCTGTTGCTACTGCTTTATTATGCTACGCTTAGCAAATAAATAGCTTCGAGTTGTATGTTAGTGGGCAAAACTTAATGACAAGAAGACACTATTTAGCCGACAAATGCACTGAAACTCAAATACCCTTACAGCTTACTCTTAAAACATACCATAGATTAAATACCTATAGTTTCAGTTTAATTGGAGGATGCAGAATTTTATATTTTATTAAATGAAGTTACACCTTTCTTATGACATTTTCTGAGTTGATCCTAATTATTTCATAAAATCTAAAACGGTTTTGTAAGATTGAATTGAATTTGTACTGCAAAATGTGAATCAAATTTGAGAGAATAATTTGTTAGGTATTATTAGTTTGTAGAATTGTGTAATCGTTACTTCTATGATCTCTTGTAGTCATAGAAAACTCAATTTTTGTCTTTCTTTAATTTCAAGAAGAGTTAGCTTTTCTAAGCTTGTTATTTTTAGAAACTTTTTAACTAACTTTAAAAATCCCTCTAAAATGTAATCAGTTGTTTGATTTATTTAATATAGAAAATAGTCTCGTTAAAGTTAGTTTTTTTAATAGTTTTTTCTGTGTAGGGGGGTTGGCTTTTTGGCCAATTCTTCTGATATTTTCCTAATGTTCTTCTTTCTGTACTATTTTGAGCTACTTTCTGCATTAAAAATAGATCAAATGCCATCGAGATTAAGTAGTGTTCAGCAGGTCGTAGTGATTTGCGTTTTGTGATCGATCATTACTGATTTCACCTGCTGACCGCTGTGTTTCGTGATTCGGATAAGTAAAAATGTCAATCGATATCACAAAACACAAATCGGAAAAATATTATGATTACTTGATTTCGATTTCGACACTACATAGTCAAAATTTTGTCGAGACCTTTGCGGGAATACATAAAATGGCAAAATGCATCCCAGCAAGCTGTGACTTTTTGACCAAAAATACTCAAATTAGAATATTTTATTAAAACAGTCAACAATCGATAATCAAAAATCACAAATCGCAAACCGCTACGGCCTGCTAAACGCGCCCATTTATTTTTTGTTTCTAGTAAAAAACCAAACTGGAGTCTTTAATGTAAAATTCTTTATATATAATATTTTTACCCGAATTTAAAGTTAATCGATTAAATAAAATCTAAATTATAAAAGAAAAGTTTGAATAATGAAACCAAAGAATCATAATTTGAAATTATAACTTAATAATAGAAACAAAAAACTCCTTTGACTATTGGAAAAAAAAAGCCACGCAGAAGTAAAGCATCCAAGCACTTCAATAGTTATAGATGTAGCTACTTATCAAAGGACTATTTTGAGGGCACAGTTTCCTGCAATGTAGCTTTCCATTTTGTGCCATAAAACAACCCACTAAATAATAATTCTAGAAATGCAAATTTAATGAGAAACTCAGAATAACCCAATTTTTGAGGGCATTGTAATAACAACAAAGCGCAACTAAAACAGCAAACAAGTTAAGCCGCAGTTGTTGTTGTTGGTGCTGGTGCTGCTGCTGCTGGTGCAAAATTCTCGCAACCATAGACTTGGCCTGGCCAAAAGCAACTTGGTACAACTTGGCTCAATGTGCGCACTAGTTTTGCACTTAAATTGGCCTAAAGCGAGTCTTGAGCGCTTGGCCGGGGCCACAGCTGCGCACGGACGGCCTTATATAATAGTTTGGGGGCTGTCAGCTCGGTCGCTCGTTCGCCAGTCTGTCTGTCCGTCTGTATGTCCGCCTGTCCGCCTGTCTGCCTGTTTGTCAGTTTGTCCAACAGTTGACGGGGCGGCGTTTGAAAATAAGTTCGTGGAACGAAAGTGAAGTTTCTGTTTTGTTTTTGGGCAGCTTGCAGGTAATATGAGTGGCACTTGAATGAACCATAAAAACGTTTTGGTGCGCTTCGAAAACCGAAATATAATATTGAAAAATTTTGCAAATTAGAAATCCACTCAAGCTCGACTTGTTTGGTAAAGAAAAGAGCATGTGGTACACTAATAAAAAATATTTATAAAAAAATAATAAAAAATCTTTTCAACCTGAACCTCTGCTAATTTCTTCATTAGATTGTGGTTATGAAAATGATGATGATGATGATAATCAGTTGGTGATGCCGTTCAGCAGGTGAAATTTTTCATTTCTCATTTTTTGCTCTCTTGAGATTTATTCGTGCGTTAAGTTGAAATTGTTGCAGATTTACAGCACGAACATTTGCAGTTTAGTAATTTTGCTTTTTGCTTTTTAATTGGCGTTAAATTATAATCATTTTACAAAAGGGCAACAATTGCGCTGAGAACAGTTGAAAGACCGATTACAGTAACAATTATGGGGGGAAAATGAAGGACTGGAACAGTTCTCAAGGACCACATGTAATTGTTAAATTGGCTCAGAAAACGAATAGTCCTTCTAAACATGAAAATCAATGCTTATTATACAAAATTATAGTCTATTAGATAGTTTAAATTTGTAGTACATATAGGAACTAAAATCGATATGTATATAAATGAAAATCTATCCTAAAATTTAGTTTAGTTAAGGCGTGAATTGGAAGAACATCTAGACATCACATAAAAGAGTTTTAAAAGCCAAATACTATAGGCCTATTTTCCTACTCTTCATTGCCATTTATGGTTATTCAATGCATATTGTTTTTTAAAACCAATACTCAGAAAAGAAATGTATAAATTAAGAGCCTTTGTTTTAGTAGTTATGTCTACTCGATTATTCAGCTATTTGTTAGCATTACCAGACCATTTTCAATTCGATTCTATTTTAAACAAATGGTTTCGATTCAGCAACACAATTAATAGACACGTTTCTGTTTTTAATAGATTCTGAATCACATGCACTAATCTGTAAATGTGCTAGAAAAAAATAAAACTGAAGAACAAAGAACACAATTTCATATTGAACGTGCGATTTGGACGGGTCGTGAAGGGGTTCTGTGGCGCAATGCATGAAGTTTTACATGAGTTGGCTGGGTGGGAAACGTGCAGAGTGTGTGGGGGCCATTAAAATTGGATCACGTCTTTCATGCAGACACAAGAGAGCGAAATGGGTCTTTAAATTGGCATAGTGTGTCGGGCAAGCTGAATTCCAGGATGGGTCAAAAGCCAAGCCAAGCCAAGCCAAGGTAGAAAAGAGGCAAAAGCAATATACAGACATACATATGTACATCGAAAGTGCAAATGCAGATGGAAGATGAAAACGCAAGGACAGCAAATTGCCTTGGCAGTTGAAACAAAAGTACGGAGATGAGTTCAAAGGTTGCCAAAGTAATGGCAAACCACAAAGGTTTGGTAAAGAGGGCGAATCAAGTGCTGAGAGTAGAATAGGAGAGAAAAAATGTAAAACATACGCAAAAATTTGTGTAATGCCCCCAATGAATTTATCTTTGACCGAATTATGGCGACGCTGAGGGGCTCGTTGTATGTGTTGTTGTTGTTGTTGGTGTTGTGATTGATGTAAATGATGTTGTTTATGTTGTTGCTGTTGCTGTTGCAGCAGCAGATAATGATGTATGTTGCTATATAGATGTTGTTGTTGTTGTTGCTGTTGCTGATGTGTTGCTGTTGTTGTTCCTGCTGCTGCTGCTTCTGTTGTTGTTGTTGTTGTTTGTGTAACGGCACTCAGACGCGGCATTCTAATTGAAAACGATTCGGAGCAGGCAAGTCTGTTCAAGCCACGACCTGGGTTAGTGGTGTGGCTGTGGCTAGCAACGGAAGTGCTCATCGGATTAGTAACAGGCAACAACTGAGAGCTAGAGGCTGCAGTAGAGGAAGCGATGGAAGTGCCATTCGAGTTGGAAGTGGAGGAGGAGGAGGAGGAGGAGCTGGAGGAAATGGAGGGAAGCGGCACGCATTTGCGCAAAGTGGAAAATATAGCTGCCGATGATGAAGAACTTTGTGGTGTTGTGCTTGAAGTGTTCGGATTGGTTGTATCTGCATTTAAGGCTGAGTTTAATGAGCTTGTTGTTGTTGTTGTTGTTTTTGCTACTACTGTGCATGTGGGTGAAGTGGTTGATGATGATAATGATGTGGAAGGTATTGATGAAGACACATCTATGGAATGCCTGCTGTGCATTGAACCAACAACGCCAACGTTTGGCGGTACGTACAACGACTGATCATTGACCGGTAGCTTCAAAATGTGTTGGCGAAGCGCGGGTGATTCGTAAATAGGTGTTCCTGCTGTTGTTGTTGTTGTGGCTGTTGCCATTGCTGTCTGCGTAGGCGCACTCTGACTGCTGCTGGCCATGGGCAACTGCAGCACCAGCTGCTCATGCTCATGATAGGCAGCGACGGCGGCTGCGCGTTGACGCAACAGCATCTCCTGCTGCTGATAATGATGATACATTGGATGTCGATAGTCCAAC